CTGAGAACTTTCCGGACAACCTAATAGGATGGACAAGGGATCCCAGAGAAGAAAACGCGGAGGCCGTGGCAGGAGAAGGGAAACTCTGGGGAAGGCTTTGCCATTTCACCACTTACAGCGCTGAACCGTGCACAGGGCACATCATTGGTCGGGAATTTTGATAGAGTCCTGCGGCACCCCTTTATTGATGGGAGGGGTTGGCACACCCCCCCCCCCCCCTTCCGGCCCCCTGTCTCTCCTCATCGAATCGAGCCGTCGAGAGGGGGGAGAGGTATATAGTACGCATGAAACAGGAAAATCACGAAAAGTCAACCACTCACTCCTAGAAGACCAGAAAGTAAATACGACCCCCTCCCAACAATGAGCGACTACGACCCCCCTTATAATGTCCGTGAAGAGAGGAAAATCAACTATCAAAATAAATTTTTCTCAGCACAAATACGACCTCCCTCCCTGTTGGGGATTCCCCAACAACGATGTGCCCTGCCCTGACAATACAGCGTCCGCTTGGGTCGAAGCCGCCTGGACCCCAGGACAAGAATATCACGCTAGCTTGGCGTGAAAACGAATGCTACGTCAGACATCACCCAGGTAATAGGCCTTCTATACAGTGAGTTAGCGGTGATCCCAATCCTCCCAAGCCACATTATCGCTAGGCAAAACACCAACAGGAGGTCGTATAGACCGCGAAGAAATTGTTAAGATATGAGTTACGGAAAGATAAAGGTGCAAGCTGTAGTAGAGAAGGGAGAGCATTCGACAGAGAGCCGTCCAAAGCAGAAGGTTTGCTCAGTGTAGTGATCTGCCCTGAATCCGCTCAGCGAATGGTGGAGAGTGGGGGAGTTTGTGTCATGGGGTACTTCTGTTGTCTCAGGACATTGGTACCTCATTTAAGCAGCAGATATACAGCAGTCTTCGTGAGTGAGCGGACGGCTTCTAAGGCGATTTGCGGGGAATCCCAGCTGGTAACTTCCCGTATGAGCTTCACCCCGTCAATGGAAATACCTTGGAAGTAGGCCTAAAAAAACCAATTGTCTACTGACTGAGTGATAGTTCATACCTTGTTAATATTCCCGTGATCATCAACGAAACGCTGTTGAAGATCTTCCATGGATTTGCTCTCATCTCTGGTTATTCCGAACATTTGCTTCAGGAGGTCATTTGAATCAACTGAAATTGAGATAGAAAAATGCAAAAAAATCCTCAAAAAATGTTCTTCTAAGAGGCGTACCATTTCGGTCACCCCAGACGATTAAGGCTGACGACGACAGAAGTAGAAAGAAGCGCAAGAACGTCATTGCTCAAACAACGATGTTCGATATAGTTCAGTTGCTTTTATGCAGCAATCTCGGGCTGAGAAATAATAATTGGCCGATTGGTGCTCTGAATCATTCCAATGTCCTTTCCGGGCCAGCCTTTATTTTCCAACACGGTCTTTGGCATTTTGTTCAGCTTTAGTATTTGCCATGTTGTTTTTCATTTCTAGCACGAACTAAAATGCCATTTCCGACCAGCAAGGAAAAACATTCCCAAAACTGTCTAGTCATCACCTTGAACACCTAGCGCACGATAATTCGGTGTCGGTCTTGAATGGTAGCAGCTATGCCCAGTAAGTGATAACGCACACTTCGCGGCTGAGAAGGACTGCGCCGCTAGCTCCGGTCTACAAGTCTCACTCTGGTGAAACCTGTGAATTTCTTGTGATGCGGGAGCAAGCTCGATGGAGCTACCATGATAGAAACTGCAAACTCTTGTGAGCTCATGAAATAGCTCTCAAGACTTCCCGACACGTCGAGCAAAAGTGCGAAATGCCCCCCCCGTTGCCGACCTGCGCCGTGAAATAGTGGCGAAATATATGCGTCTTGACCTCTGCAACGATAAATCCTGTGAGTGGGTGTGAATTGGAGCGCAGTGAAAGCAGCTTCCCCAACAGTTGTTGCGGGCTCAGGATGAGTCATTGGAAAAGCCGCTCTGGCTGCGCTCCAGTCCATGCCTGATCACACGCCCTATCGTTTGCAGGGATGGACTATACCTGTATGCAACACAGTAGTTGCACAATCTCACTTGTATTTCTTGAATGGAACGAGAAGTGTAGTAGTAGTAGGATCAGTGTGCTTGATACTGACACCTTGGGAGGGGTGGCAGTCCTTCTGGGGAGCCTGTGCTTCTGACGCACACCCCTCTTGAAACCAACTTTTGAAGTCTAATTTGCTTGGAATGGCTTCATACGTCGACTACTCGGCAGGTGGTTTCTGCTGTTTGCCAGGGATTTCGACCCCACGATCATCAAAAATTTGTCGTGCCTGATGCATTTGAATGCTCGATTACTTATTACTCTTCCCCCCCCCCCTCAAAGTCATATTAGGATTCCACCAATAACACAGTGAGGTCTTATTGCATGTAAATCTGCTTTTGGCAAAGCAATCTACTTTTTTCCTTGAGAGATCCTTCGAGGGATTTGTGCGCAACTTACGCAAGGATTCCTACTCTGCTACCAACCACGAAATCTCACAAATTTTTCCAGTGCCTACAAGGAAAAGAAAACTCAGTCATTCGGTGCACCTTGTCAGTCTGGTCCAACTCATGGGGCATCCTTCACGTAACATTTTCCCTATAACCGAGACTTGGGGAGAAGCATGACAGGTGTCAGTTAGGTGGAGCTTAGAGAGGTTGGCAACTAACTAGTGGTATGGTCAGCCTCGATCAGTGAATGGGACCATACGTTCGAATGCGCCTCCAGAAACTTGAGTAAATGGCCGTCATTCTGTGCTGGTGGCCGACCTGCGAATTAAACAACTCCAGCTCTTAATCGCTGAGATAAACGGAGCACTGTGGCATGGCGAGCGACGTCCTCCTTGAGGACAGCGTATGTGCTAG